CAACTGAGCTATATCCCCAGCTTCCCCGACACACACACCTGTATGATTTTTTAAAAAATATTTTTCAGTTGTAATTGGACACAATATCTTTATTTTATTTTTGTGTGGTGCTGAGGATCGAACCCAGTACCTCATACGAGGCGGGCACTCTACCAATGAGCTATAGCCCCAGCCCCACCTGTATGATTCCTACAGTGGCAATTGTCACTATTTTCCCAGTAAGCTTTCTAAGTGGCTATCGATTATGGCATCTTTATTTTGTAATCTGGTAATGTAATCCCACATTATTTCTGTCTTCAGTGATGTCATGTACTCCGTGATGGCAGGAAGCAGCTTCTGCATGTCCCCATATCCTTGGGATCTAGAATGGCCAGGTACACCACAGGGTTGCCTGGTGAAGTCAATTAAACAAGTAAATGAATGAGTGGATGCACGAATCCAGGATGCAATTGCCTCCCTCTGCCCTTGAGTTGGTGTTCATGGTGGCAGCACAAATGGGCAGTAAATTGAACCCCACAACCAGACTCCCTAGCTCAGAATTCCCAGGAACAGGCTGTGCTCCTGGGAATGATGGAGGGCATGATGGAGAATACCAATTGGAGGCTGTGTCACTCCAAATCAGGCAAGAGGCAGGGGAAATGGAAGGCCATATGCTTATCACGAGGCCTCCCCAGTGGCTGCCGCCCACCTGTGCCTCTTCCTATCAATAAATGGGGTAGGAGACAGAGGACAGAGGTGGGATTACCTTGTTGCTGCCCCTGTCTTCTGGAGTGGCCTGGGGCAGGCCCCCTGCTGCCCTTAGGGCCATCTCTTCTGAAGAGGACCAATGTATGGATAATAGGTCCTCGTCTCCCCACACCTGGTCACCACATCCAGCAGCACCCTCTGCTTCCTTTGGCAGACTGAAGAAGTCTCTCTCTGGACATCGCCATGTTGATGGGATTGCGATTACACTGATCGCCGCGCTCACTATTCACTGTTCCAGTGCTTCCCTAAATTGTTATGACATCACTAAATCCTCCCAGCCTCCTACAAGTTGGGCTCTATTATTATTTCTTCATCTCTTTCAGAGATGAAGAAACTGAGCTCAGGGAGGTAAAATAAGTGACAGGAGGACATCAGGTCAGAAAGTGGTAAAGGCGGGATGAACCCCCTTTTCCGCAGGACAGGATGAGCCCTGCATCTTGTTAACCTCTTCATGCCCTGTGTCTTGCATTAAGCCTGGCCACTGATCCAGACCTGTTGGAGAATACATGACGAATGAATGGGCAACTCCAAAGGCCAGCCTCTGAGCAACTTAGTGACTAAATATAGTGGCTTGAAACAGGAGTTGTATGAGGCCACTGTTCAAATCAACTAGTGTTTTTTTGTGGTTGTTGTTTGTTTGGTACTGGGATTGAACTCAGGGGCACTCGACCACCAAGCCACATCCCCAACCCTATTTTGTATTTTATTTAGAGACAGGGTCTTGCTGAGTTGCTTAGGGCTTGCTAAATTGCTGAGGCTGGCTTTGAACTCTCAATCCTTCTGCCTCAGCCTCTCAAGCCCTGGGATTACAGCTGTGAGCCACCCCGCCCAGCCCAGTGTTTTTGAGCACCTGCGACGTGCACAACAGAAATGCTACCAGAGGGGCTAGTGTACAGTTTTGTGCATTAAAAAATATGTGGAGGGTGTGGCGGAGAATATCAGTGTGGAAGCTGAGTCACCCACTTCCGTCCACTTCTTGACTTTGTGACCTTTGCCACATCCTCCGTTACCTTTCTGTAGCTCAGTCAAAATGAGCTAATGAAGGGTGGGAGACAGCTGGCGCCTCCCTCGGCCCAGTGACCTGGCTGGAAGGAGACGCCCAGTGAATGCAATGGGTTTAGCACAGTTGGTCAAAACTTTGGAGAGAGAGAATCCTGCCTCCCGGGTACTCAAAGCAGAGGGTCAGAGCCATTTCTAAGACTCTCATTCAATTCGTCGGCCCCCAGGGGACCCAGCTGCCCTGAGCCTGGGACACCCATCTGTAACAGCTCTCCTTTAGCCCCTGCTAAGCCCAGGGCAGAAAACGAGGCCAGGTAGGCTTAGGTGTGTTCCCTTTCTGACTTCAGACTTCATGCTGTTTCCCTGCCCACCACATTCTCCCTCCTTCACACCTCCAAGTGGTATTTGATGTATTCCCCCCACTTTTTGAAATACTTAATTTTTAGTTATAGGTGGACACTATATATTTTATTTTTTTATGTGGTGCTGAGGATCAAACCCAGGGCCTCACACATGCCAGGTGAGCGCTCTACCTCTGAGCCACAACCCCAGCCCCACTTTTTTTTTTTTTTGGTGGTACTGGAGATGGAACCCAGGTTTAGGGCCTCACACATGCTAGGTAAGTACTCTGTACTCTATCACTGAGCTACACCACCAGTCCTTTTCTTTTTCTTTTTTGAGACAGAGTCTTGGTAAGTTTCCAAGGTTGATCCTTTTTAGTCTCTGAGTAGCTGTAATTGTAGACGTGTGCAGCCACACACAGCCCATTCATTCATTGTTCAAGTCCAACCCAGCAATTTTTAGTAGACCAGGGAACAATCAAGGCACTACCAAATAGTAAAAAAACTATGCAGCCCTGAACAAGGAATGTGGCAGATTTGGAAGATGTCTAAGACATTGTTTCTAAAAGGAAAGTTGCACACAGTATATATAAGAACTTCTCTAACTTTGATGTGCACAGAAATTTCCTGGAGTCCTTGGTTCTTTTTAAATACAGGTCATGATGGAACAGGTCTCTGCTGAGGCCTGAGACTGAATTTCCCCACGAGGCCCAGTCTTCTGGCGTGATTATCAGTCACACAGAATCATAAAGTATTTAGTATGATCCCATCTGTGAAAACAAAATAGAACAAAACAAATACATATGGGGAGGGGGGTGGGATCTAGAGGATAAACCCTAAGTTATAGATACCCGTGATCTCTTGGTGCAAGGATAACATGAGGCCTTCAAATATTTGTATAAAGCCTGATTTTTATAAAAAGTCTAGCTATTATAATTAGGGAAAAAGATAAAACCAATAAAAGCCCAGTAGTGACAGTATCCCTCTAGGCAGACATCTGTGAATGTAGCCCGATTGAATGTGCTGTTCATCCCAGGTCCCATCACTGCCCTCTCTGGTCCTCAGAGCATAATAATAGGCCAGCTTAGAGCAGCCGCTCAGGATGCAGATGTGAGGCATATGGAATTGAAGTTCCAGCTGGCCGGAAAGTAGTCCCCATCCAGGTTCTCACAGCTGGGGACTAATAAGAGCCTCCTGAGTACCTGGCCTAGGCCCTGCCCTACATGGGCATTCTGTTCTAGCACCATGCCCATTAGCCAGTTTACAGAACTAAGGCTCAGAGATGTGGAAGGACCTGGGTCAGACAGCTTGTCTAAGGCTGGGCTAGACTCCTAACCCACTCCCTGGGGCTCCGAGGAGTAGGGTCTACTGACTCCCCCTGTCTGCCTGGAAAATTCGTCCCCTATATGGGGCAGTCCCTTACTTGCTTCAAGTCTGCTCTTGACCAACCCGTTCTGTGTCCAGTCTCCACAGCAAAACAAACCCTGCCCTGACCCTGCTTCCTGGCCTGCAGACCTGCTTCCTTGCTCGTCACCATATGGCAAGCTTGTGTCTATTGGCTGACTCGTGTTTCATCCCTCTTTCTTGCATTAGCCTGTAAGCTACATTTTAGTAAGCAACATGTCATTTTGCTCACAGCTATATCTCTGGGGTCTAGCACAGTGCCTGGTTCCATAATATGTACTCCGTGCATGAAAACTGAACAGTCTCCAACTCCTGGGTCACTGCTCTGGACCCACACAGGGAAATGACCTGCTGAGCCTCCAAACATCAAAGTATGCTGCCTCCCTTTCTAGCCTCCGGGTGGAGAGTTCAAATTGTTTCTTAAGTGAAGAGGCAGATGGTTGGGCCTGGCGCCTCAGGGCCTCTCTGTGTGGAAGGACTTAGCAGGAAAGGGTTACGGTGGTCCTGGATTCGAATCCCATATTTTGCCACCATCCTGATGGAGTCAGGTAAAGGGCATCTCTGTCTAGGACAAGAACTTCTAACTCTCCCAAGGGTCTTATTAGCATTGAGATCTTTGTCTCTGCTCTTCCTCTTGATCTGCCCGTGACAGACTCTCTTCTCTGAGGTCACTTCTTTGGAGAACCCTAATTCCTTCCAGTTTAAAACGACTTTTCCACACCCACAGATAACGCTTCATACTCCCCATTTATTTCTTCCATTGCTCTTGCTATGAAAGGTTTCTGCTTTTACTATTCCATTTGCCTGCTCATCGGTTCCTGTCTATCTTGCCAGCTTTGTGTAAGATCTGTGAGGCCAGAGACCTGGCTATCTTATTAGTGCTGAATCTCCAGGCCTAGGATGGGGCCTGGTTTATAGTAGGTGCTCAGTAAGTATCGTTGAATTAATGCTCCATCTTTCTCCTTCTAGGAACAGAGAAAATGAGGCTCAGACAGGAAAGGATATGCAGGAGACTAGTGTCAGAACCTAGGGCAGAAGGCAGCAAGGTCAAGAGGAAGTCTGTCAGGGGACTGTGACCTTGGAGCAATTTGATAGTCTCTCCAGGCCTCAGTTTTCCTCAACTGTAAGATGGAGTAGGACAGCTGTGACCACCATCCAATAGCCCATTGTGAGGGGTGGTATACAGCCCACTTCCAGAAACGGTATCCTCTGCACAGCATCAGTACCCCTAGATACTGGTAAATCGCCCCAAAAGCCGCAGAAGGAGAAAACTACAACACCCATAATACCCCTGGAGGCGCTTGCGCACGGCCGCCTGCCCGCAGGGCCGCCGACGCCCTCTCGTGGCGGTCCGACGTAGCGCTCCGCTCGGATCCCCGAGGGGCGGGGGGCCCACGGCGCACGCAGTCGGGGCGCGCGGCTGCAGCGGCGGAGCCGGAGCCGGAGCCGGGAGCGGGAGCCGGAGCGGGAGCGGCGGCCGGATCGCAGCCCGCGGGGCCCGCCGCAACCATGGGCAACCGGGGCATGGAGGACCTCATCCCGCTGGTCAACCGGCTGCAGGATGCCTTCTCCGCCATCGGCCAGAACGCGGACCTCGACCTGCCGCAGATCGCCGTGGTGGGCGGCCAGAGCGCCGGCAAGAGCTCGGTGCTTGAGAATTTCGTAGGCAGGTAGGAGCGGCGCGCCCCCGAGCGCGCCCCCCACCCCCGGGGCCCCGGGCTCCGACGGCGCCGCGACCTCCCAGCCCCCGGGCTGCGCCGGCGGACAGCGCGCCCCCACCCGCTGCGGGAGGAGGCGGCCCTCCCCCACCGCGAGCCCCTGGGGGCGGCGGCGCCCCCGGCTAGTCTGCAGTCGTCGGCCAGCCCCGGGCCACGGAATCACGCCCCCTCCTCCGCCCCGTCCTTTAGGGGAGACAGCGCTCTGCCGGGAGCAGAGAGGTGCCCCCAGACCCAATGGTCTCCGCGGGGGCCGCATTACTCAGCGCCTCCCTTCGGCCCGGGAGACCCTAGGACCGGGCAGCACCCCCGGGGCAGTGCCCCCTTTCCTAGGCTCCAAGGGGTCAGCCCCTGGACCGTGACAAGGGACCTCCCCCAGGTCCTGGAAGAGGACACAGCCCCGTGGGCATCGAGGACCAGGCAGTCTCCCCGCTGACACACACACCTCTGCGGCTCCCGCCGCCATCCGTGCGCAGCGCGGCGCAGGGGGGGCGCGGGCTGCGGGACGAGGAAGGGGAGGGGGGAGAAAACACTTCGGGTCGCTTCTCAGCTGCCGCCCCTGGCCTCGCCGCTGCCCCTGGGTCGGGGGCGCCTGCCAGTGTCGTCCTCCCCAAGGCCTGGCAGAGGGATTGTGATGGAGAGAGCAGGCAGCGGAGGGCAGAGATGACTAAGACAGGAGGCAGGAGGCGGGCAGGGGGAGCCATTTGCAGAACCTAATCCCCCTCCCGCCTCTGATCCCACAAGGCGCTGGGAGGGCCAGGTGACAGAGTGGGGAGCAAACGCAAAGACAAAGCGTCCTGGGATGGGGGGGCGCGGGCAGGTCGTGACACCCCAGGCTCCCCTCTGAGACGGAGAAGATAGGGGTGGCTTTCTGGTGCTGAGAAGGAGCAGAGAGGATTCCGCTGGTGCTGGAAGCGGATGGGGGGCTGGGCAGGCTGAGGCAGGAGGCAGGAGAGCTGACACTGACCTTCCCCTCCATCATCAACATCCCTCCACTCTCCAGGAACCTGGCTTTCTTCCGATGACCTTCATGGCTAAGGAAGTGGTTGGCACGTGGGAAAGGAGGCAGGGGCCCCTCCCCCCAAGGGACAGCAGTTCTGTAGGGTGACATCCAGGTTCTGCTTTGAAACCTCAGGCAAGTCTCTTGCCCTCTCTGACCCTCAGTTGTCACATGTTTAATATGACAGTTGGAATGGACTGGATAGTTGTTCCTGCCCCTCAAATGTCCTGGGAAGACCACTGCCAACCCTAGAGAGTCAAGGGAAGGACCTGAGTATCTGTGGGATGTTGGAAAGTCTCCCCCCAGGACATGCCCATCTGGTCAGCACAGAGGGAGGCCTTCTGTCTCTCCAGGACAGCTCCTACAGAACACCCCTTCAGATCACGTGACCCCAGAGCTGCAGAGAAACATATTCTGCCCCTTCCCACAGCCCTGTCCAGCACTCAGGGTTAGGGCAGAGGGTACCTTGGAGACAGTGGTACCCAAGGGTGTCCAGCACTTGTTCCATATTCTACCTCTTGTTAAATATTTGCTGTGCCAGGCCAGCTGGTCTGGGCAGGGGTATAGAGTCAGGGACCTCAGCTCCTGTCCCTGCAGCCCCTCCCCCATGCCCCACACCTTGCTGAGTCCTCCACAGGCTCACAGCAGCCCCCCCAGAGGCAGGCATGTGATGCCCACCCTACAGATGGGGAAACTGAGACCCTGGAGGTTAATTAGATGCCTTGCCAAGGTCACACATTCAGGAAGTGCAGCCCATGTCAGACTCCAAGCCCTGGTTCCTGATCGTGACCAACAGCCTCTGAGGGCCAGTCCCTGCGCTGGGCATGGGAACGTGCAGGTGTGTGGACTTCGTTTTCCTTATCTGAGGAATGGGAACCCTGACAACTGCTGTCCTGCCTTCCTGAGCCAGGGCTGTGGGACGCGAGTTCATGGGTGGCAAAGCCCTTTTGTAAACATGTAGAGGGAGGTGTTGCCAGTCTAGCTGTGTGCCGCTCCTGGCTCCCGCTTCTTGGAGTCCACTGGGCAGCAGGCCAGCCCTAGCCCCACCCTGGCCCCAGCCCCTAGCCCAGCCCCAGCCCCAGCAGATTCAGCCACTGTTGGCTCGTCCCGTGGCAGAGCGAGGTGTGAACTCTGCTCAGGAGGCCTGGCCCTCTTGCTGCCCTCCGCATCTCAACACCCTTGCCGGGATCCCCGAAGAAAGATGTGTAGGGTGCCTGACACCCACCGGCCCAGGGAGCTGGAAGAGCCCTCCTCTAAATGTGGGGGAGGGGTGGGAGAGCACTGGGATCCTGGAAGCGAGGGAGGGGACCAGTGCTGGGGCACAAGCAGGGAAACCGAGGCTCAGTGGCCCGCAGCAGCCCTGCCCGCTCCCTCACAGGCTTCCGACCTCTCCACCCAGGGCTGGGTCCCCAGTCTGGTGAGCATGGTAACAGTAGCTCTGCCTCCTGGGGCTTCCCAGGAGCCAACCCCCCCAGGAGAGGAAGTGGAATCCCGTTGGAGGAAAACAGCTGAGGTAGGCTAGTCTGGGCTCCTGGGTACCCAGGAGGACCTTGCCACCAGCTCTGCGATGGAGGTGGCCCGGCAGCTGCCCAGGACCCTGCTGGGACTTGTCTAGATCTATGCTATGTCTTCACTCCCCTTTCACAGAAGGGCAAATGGAGGTTGGCTCCTCGGGTCATTTAGCAAGCATTCCTGGAGGCCACAGGGCCTTGAGGCCAGGGATTCTGCAGGGAGGAGACAAAGGCAGAGGAGTGTGGCCAGCGTTGGGAGGGCAGAGAAGGCCTCCAGGAGCAGGCGGCACCAGGGTGAGCATTGAACAGAGAGGAGCTGTGAGAGTAGCTGGGGAGAACTCTGGGCCAGGGAACAGAAAATGCAAAGGCCCTGGGGCAGGACAAAAGGCAAAGGCCCTGGGGCTGGTGTGTGCCCGGCCAGGAGAGATGAGATGAAAGAGGTAGGCAGGCAGGGGCTTGGTGAGGAATGTGTGTGTGTCTTCACTTTTCTTGGAAGCCTTTAAGTAAGTTCAGTGACTTTAACTGATTCTGGCAAGTGTGTGACTTGGGGATGGGGTCAGAGAGAAAGCGAGAGAGTGGCTGCTGCATGGGCACGAGGCGGGGGCCTCAGGCAGGGCCATACCTCTGGTGAGAATTGTGAGGTTCAGGATCTGTGGTGGGTGGACACAAAAGGTGGGAAAGAGGGATCAAAAATGACTTCAGGGCCTGTCATCCCGGCGATTCAGGAGGCTGAGGCAGGAGGATCACAAGTTTGAGGCCAACCTTAGCACTTAGTGAGGACCTAAGCAACTCAGCAAGACTCTGTCTCAAATTTTTTAAAAAAGAAAAAAAGGGAAAGAAAGAAGGGCTGGGGCAGCTCAGTGGTTCAATCCCGGGTACCACAAAGAAAAAAAAGTTCTTTGACCCATGCTCCGAGGCAGGAATGTCGCCGTTGATGGAGTCAGGGAGGATGGGGGGGCAGGGCAGATTGGGGGCCAGGGAAGAGGGGGCTGGGTTGGACATACTGAGCCTGAGGTGCCCGGTAGACTCCTCCGGGGAAGTGTCAGGAGCTGGGGGAAGGCGGGCTGGAAATGGAAATTTGGGAGTTGTCGGTGTAGAAATGGAATCTAAACCCGGAGAGTAGATGAGCTCATTCTGGGGTAAGTGCAGAGGAGGATCCGTGGCCCCCAGCACGCCCCAGCAATCCGTGGACACACACCTGGCCCTAGGTCAAGGGGCCTGTCCAGTGCCCTTCTGCTCCCTGCGTCCTTCCCCAGCGCTCCTCCAGGGCCAGAGGCGTGTCCTCCGCGGGCAGGCAGAGGAGCTGGGCCCGCCCCGCCCTCCAGCCCCGGGAAGGCTGAGGCAGGGGGGATTTGCGGAGAGGGAGGTGCCGGGGGTGAGGAGCCAGGCCTGAGGGTGGCCCACCTGGAGCGTGTGCTCCACCCCTGCCCAGCTGCTGTCTCCTCGTCTGTAAAATGGGGACAGTGACACCTCCCTGGTGGGACTGCAGTAGAGCTGGAACCGCAGGGCCTGGCGTGGAGGACGCGCCAGTTCATCCCTGCTGGGGCCTGGGCAGGCAAGGCCTTGGTGTCCTGCAGCCTGGGAGGGGGCCACAGTGGGGGAGGGGATCGGCTCCATCCAGGTGGGGTAGGGGACCCCTGGGAGCCTCTGCCTGGATGGAGCCAGGGTTTTAGGTGGCTGCCTACCTACACCCCATGTGGGTCCCCAGCTGCTTCCCCAGGGGCCTGGTGCTGGCCTTGGCCTCTGAGAGCCCTTCTTTGGTCAGGCCTGGACCTCCTCTGGGAGACACCCACTCCCCACTGTAAAGCTCTGTTGCTGTCCCCGAACACTTTGGGGCGCACACTGTTGTTCCCATTTCTTAGATTGGGAGACTGAGACCAGAGAAGACGAGGGGTTAACTGGGATCTGAGGCAGGGCGTCTGACTGCAGATATTTCCTTGAAGCCTGCCCTGTGCCAGGCCCCAGGGACAGGGCTGAGAACAAGGTGGACCTACCTGTGCTTTGGGAGGGTCCCAGCCGAGAGGACAGGCGACTGTGAAATCCACGAGGATCCCACAGGAGCCTGAGAGTGAAGAGAAGCCGTGGCCTGGGGTCAGAGAAGGCCCCCCGGAGGTGGCACTAAGGCTGGACAAGCAGAGGGAACCAGTCCAGGTGCCTGCTTGGCCCCAAGAGGGGAGAAGCCTGCGAGGTTGAGGACCCTGGTGAAGGACCCTGCGTGAGAGGCAGAGGCCACAGGCCAGACTGAGAAGGTTGGGGAGGCCGGATTGTTGTCCCTGTCCCCAGAGAGCTGTGGCAGCTGCCCTGGGCGCCAGCCTCCGTGTGCCTCAGTGCACACACCTGCCCCATGCTCAGCAGTGCTGCCAGGGGCCGCGTGTGGAATCCATTCCTGGGGGCTGGACTTAAGGAAAGGTGCCCTGCCAGGGACATTCTGCCCAAACCCCGCC